ACGATTCGTGGTCATTCTGTTAAGATGATGCAGTAGTAGTGGGGGGAGCTATTGCATAAAAGGGAGCATGCAAGTGCAGCCAAAAGGTCTTTAACCTCTTTTCTCAACAAAGCAGACCAATAATGCAGTGATTGCTTCCATGGAAAATCGGTTCTCTACTTGATGTACCAACATTTTGCAAGGTCTGTGGAGCTCCACATGTTGAGTTTCGTGAAAAGCGTGGCTATTACGCACAGTAAATGAACGAACAATTGCAAGGCTGTGTGGAGCAGAGATGGATGCAGATCTTTTACCCCCCTGGAAGTTGTAGGACATACAGCCTGGGAGCACTGGGAGGAAGGAAGTGCATTTGTATGCTGGTTTGTATAAATTTATGCTTAAGATATGACTAAATAATCGAGACTGCAAGGCACAGTTACCTCAAATTATCGATTCCCCGAGACGGAATTATTCGGTTGACTTTGCTCGTCGGCTTCAGATTCGATGCTTCCCTACTGGCATGTTGTTATGCATATGCCACCCTTCCCTCCAACCGCGTGAAAGTTTCACCACATTTCACTGTTGTCGCCGTGGCGGCCCAAAACCTTCCGAGTCCCGACTGAGTGTGTGAGGGAAACAGTAGCTCGAACTCATCAAGAGGCGTCAGATGGAGATTGATTGTGTTCATTAATAGGCCGGCTCTCGCACATACGGTACGACATCCTGTTGTACTTGCTCTTGGACTCTTTGACTCCGATTTCCTACTGCGTCCAGTTCGAAATCGGTGGGAGAGGAGAAGAGAGAAGAAGTGTTGTTGTTGTTGTTGTTAGTTGGGCATCATGATCTCGTCCCCCTTGAACTTGAAGGAGGAAGTGGAGGTAGGGGGACCAGAATCTGGGATTCATAAAGAGCAACATGTACATGTACCACTTCACGGAGGCATGTCCATGCCACAGCCCAATTACAAGACGACCTGGTTTCAACAGTAAAGGCCACTCCTTCCATAGTGCACTCTGGCACCCATCTACTGATCACTAGCCTGCAGGCCTAGTCCATTACAAGTTTTTGTGAGCTTTGCCTGTCGGTTCCGTTGTCCCGAGGTTTAGCATTCATGAGCCCGACAAAGGCTCCAGATCTTCGATCGTTCACGCCGGAGTGGACTGTCATTTTCCTTCCATTCTCACAAATCATTCGCTTTGTCCGCTGGTTCTTCCTGGTTCGCATCTGTCTCTTCTGTCTCTCCCTCCCTGGTCTCCTTCTCTGTCTTGGGACTAATAACTCCTACTTTTCATAGTAAATACATGCACAATAACACCCTCTACGTGTGAGCTACATGTTCAAGGGCATGTTTTCCCATTAAATGTGATGCTACTGGTGCTAGCATCATTTTCCCTTTCGTTTCATCATGTACGACTTGATAGTTATTCCCATCCTTTGTCCCATGCAGTTTTATTTTATGGAACTTATTATATGATCGCCCCGATTCTGGTGTGCAAGACTATTCTGTATACAGTACACTGGAGAAGTTTAGATCAAAGATTCTCGGCATCTCTGTTCCCAATCATTCATGCCCGTGGTTGCACTACTCTCTTCAACCTCTTGGTGAGAAAACTTTTCCCCGTTTCACCTGTGAAATTCGACAGCAGTGAAGCAATTACAGCAACCATCGAGCCACACAAAGATGACACCAAATCATGTTACTGATGTGGTTTCAACCAGTAACATGGACATAGGCCCCAACAGGATCACAACGGGAAATATGTCGATCGACTGAGACACCTAATCCATTCCTTGTGATACAGAACGTCAACTTTTAAGTGTGAGGTGAGTGTACACGTCCAACTACATTTCGCAGCATGTCGTCCTGCTAAGCACTCAGCGATAGTGCTGTCCAAACCGGCCCGTGGGATTTCGTCGGGTGAAAAGCTTCTCACCCAATCGCATCTTTATGTAAGCACCCACTAGGTACCATGGTCGCAGTCCTTAACAACCTATTACTGCAAAACACTCTCACATATGACTACTACAAAAGTGAAGAGAACGAGCTAAGCCGTAGAGAGTTCAAAACATCCGGATGACAAGATCAAACATTTCCTTCTCCTCCTGCCATATGTTTCACTTTCGCCCTTTCTCATGCCAACCACTCCTGTGTGACCAAAAGCCACGTAGTCTCATGTAAATGTTGTTCTTAGTTTTTTTTTATTTTTATCGGTGAGGCTTCTTGAGCTGAGACACATATATAGGCTCGGTGAATCTCAAACCTTAGGAACTGCAAATTTTTTTAAGGTTGAGGATTGGTTAAACCTAAACCTTTCATTTTATTAAAACCTGTCGAAATGCGAATGTCTAAATGAGAAGAGAATGAAATTACATTGAAGCAAATCGTCACTGAGAATGAGTTCCTCCAACTCACAGATGGTCAAGATCATATGTTTTGTGACAAGTGGGTCATATTATTTCTGGCAATCAATTAGCAGTATACACGTCATCATGACAGAATGGACGCAAGGACGGATGTTTGGTAGAGCAATGAGTGAGAAAAATGCTTGACCATCTTGGCATCCGGTTGACGTTAAGATTAAATGGAGTGAGAATCAGTCGATAAAATTGAATATTCTTCTAAAAAGAGACTGGGACGAATGACACAAAATCGCATGTAACTTTATTACCACGTTCAGAAATTGATCATTTTCATGTAGGAACAAATGGAATTTCATTAAAATATTTCGAACTATGATTTTCTGTAAAAAGAAAACGGTGAAATCTAACAATTGTGTTATCATGGTAAATGATATATGTAATGCATATTTTTTTTTCTAAATTCCTTGATGTTCACGCATTGGATTTTTTCTCTCCTCAAAATGTAATCCAAGTTTTCAAAATTATTCAAAACTTACGATTCAAGTTATTTATTATTAATGTTCATGAAGTTCTAGGTCAACACTTCGGACCTTCTTTTAAGGTCCATGCACAGTTTGAAATCTGAGCATGAAAATTAGAAAAAACTTGAATGTGTATGTGCTCGTTCATAAATCACATATTAACCATAAATGATTTTGAAACGTATGAAAATAAAAACTCTAGGGATTATGAACAAACTCTAGAGTAATGTTTAAGTATCAAGATTGATGCGAAATCCACCCGTGTGGCCAGCATTTTTGGCTATAGACGTGAGCTGACGTGGCTTGGCCTGGGTGTCCTACACAGTGGACAGAAAGAGTGTACGGTGATTAACTCTTGAAGACAGAACTTAAAGCCTGAAGGTAATCACACAGAAGCGAGATCCGTCCACATTACGGACGTGGTTAAAGGGGGATACCGACTGACTGTACCGTAGTTCATAAATGCATGGACTTTGGAGGCACCGAGAGAGGTGCAGTTCAAAGCCGTCCGATAAGGATGATACAGAGTTGAAGCCTGGGGGCCATCGACGGCGTCCGTCCACGTAACAGGATCTTGTATATTCGGACATGTCACCCTTGCGTTTACGTAAGCGGTCTACGGTGAAATCTCGTGAGCCCATGGCACCGACCGATGGATCGTTGCGTTTAGCCTATGGCGGCGGCTACTTGGCACGAAGCGAACGCAAGGAGAGATGCTCTCTCTCTCTCTCTCTCTCTCTAGAGGGTGGCGTTGGTGCTGAGGGCAGGGACCGAACTCGTCACCTCACTCACTTACTCACTCTCCGCTGCGGTCGAGAGATGAATTAGAAGAAGAAGGAGGAGGAGGAGGACTGGTGGTGGTGGGGACCAGCAGGACCGGGACTTGGAGTGTGAGTGACTGTGGTGTTGCGAGGTGAGAGGCACAGCGTGGAATAAAGAGTATTGCGACTGTTGTGGAGGACTTATTGGTTTGTTATTTCTTTGGGCCAATGACGATTGAATGAGGAGGAAGGCTATTACACATTAGCGAGGGATAGGGGTGGCGGAGAGAGAGAGAGAAAGAGATGGTGGCGTGTCTCCTACACCCCTTTGGTGTTCTGTTAGGCTGGCTTCAGCTCAGTTGTGATGGTGGTGTTGGAGTTGCATGCTCAATTGGGGACTCGACAATAAATATTAAAATCGTGTGATTATAAGATTGCTGGGCTCGCTCGCGGGGTAGGAGGCTGGGGCTGGGTGTATGTCATGGTCATGGCATGGCGGTAGAGGAGAGGGGAGGAGAGAAGGGAGGCGTAGAGTAGACGGGGAGGAGGAGGAGGAGGAGAAGGGATGCAACGGGGTGGGAGTTTAGACCGCATCACCGCACTGCAGTCGGCCCGCGGGGGCGGTCGAGACTCGAGACGCCTCGTCGTCGCCGGCTCATTGAGCAGTGATCTCTGAAACAATGATCACATGACAGTGCCGAGAAGCACCACTGTGTCGGGATCCGCAATTTACTGCAGCCGGGGGGACATCCAGAGCAGAGAAGAGAAGGAATTCGGTTCACCTGTACACGGCGGTTCGGGGCGAGCGAGGCAATCAGGTGAAGCGAGAGCGGAGGACGGCAGAGGACAGGGATTTCCGAGAGGCCGGTGACGAAATCGAAGAAGTGGGAAGGGCGTGATTCTTATCCGGGTTCTCCTCGGGGCGGGGGTACGGACGGGGCGAGCGAGCGAGCGACGGACGGACGGGCGGGCGGACGGCAGCCAGCCGGGGACCAAGAATTCGCCGTCCGGACTCCTCAGGAAGGAAGGAAGGGCAGGATCGGGGAGAGGGGAGAGTAGTAGCGGTAGCAGCAGCAGCAGCCGCGGACAGGAGTGTGGCGAGAGAGAGGAAGTCGAGGAGCCGCAGGGGGAGGAGGAGGAAGCGTTGATGGTGTGGGGGTACTCGCGGACGCTGTGCCAGCTGCGCCCATGCTATGATGATGATGATGCTGATGATGGCCCCATAGTTAAAAGCAAAATATGAAAGAAGACCAACCAGACGGGGACAGTCAAGAGGGAGGGGTGAGGGAGTGAGTGTGTGAGTGAGAGAGTGAGAGAGTGAGGAAGGGAGGGAGAGAGAGAGGGAGGGAGGGTGAGGGAGAGGGAGAGAGGAGAGGGGTGGGGGAGATGTGGGGTGAGGAAGAGGGAGACGGTGAGTGAAGTGAGCGAGTGAGAGGGAGGGAAGGGAGAACAAGTTAAAGGCTTTTTCGGCCTTGGCAGTTCCGTGTGGATTTTACAAGAGTCGATCTTAATTATTCACTTCAAGACACACAGACCGACAGAAGAAGAAAAAGCTGCTGCCGCTGCTTGGGAATGTCGATGCCAGTCGTCGCAGTCCGGGATGGAGACAGCAGGCGATGGGAACACAGCACATCTCCTCGTCTTGAACCTCTACAACACTGAGGACCAACTTTTTATGACAGCGCCCTCGCGTGAAACCTAGAGGAGGCTTAATCTTTAAGCGGTCGGTCACTCGAGAGCTTAAAGAGGGCCATCGAGAGGGAACACTGATTTTCCTGCGGTCGGTTCGTCCGCTGCTTTGCTTTGCGCAATTTGCAATTTGCAAAGCCCGGACAAGAATACGGCGCAGCACACACAGAGATTCACAGATAGACCGCGACGCCGGTCAGGCACACGAACAGAGTTTGCGAGAGAGTCCAAGAGAGTGATACTTATCAGCGGCCGAGAGCCGAGGGTCCAGTGGGTGGGTGGGTAGAGCGCGAGCCGCAGCGTGAGAGAGTGAATCCGAGCGATTTAGTGTTGTTCAGGTCTCCGAACTCGACGTCGCCATCCGCTTGCACATGAGGTAATTGCTTCGTCTCTCTCACTTGCTTCTCGGGCCCTCTTCCCCCGGGTGATTCTTTCCCACACGGACGTGATTTCCACGCGGCCAGGCTTTGGGAACCACCGGAATTCATCGCCATGGTGACAGAATTCGTCCAGTTCAGTTGTGCCACGAACATCCCCCAAAATTCTGGGCATTCGCCATTCGAGTTCCTCACGATTCCCTTGCTGAGGAGCGAATTTTGAAATTTTCGGTTGGGCGGGCGCTCGGGACGCAAAGAGCAGCGTGTCCAGCTGCCGCCACAGACACAGGGCCTCCTGCATGAGCACAAAATCATCATCCGGGCACAGGCAGCTCTCTGCCTCTCGGTCATCCATCCGCCGCGCTTCGGACGATTTCACGTCGGTTGAAGTGCGCCGAAACCGTGTGTCTTCAGATGCTCGCAGTCACAAGAAGTTAGGCTCTGCGGACCTGCTACCCACCCTCATCTCACATCCAGGATATTTTTCTCGTGTCTAGCCGTCTGTTAGATGGAGGGAGGGAGAGAAAGAGGGAGGAGGGCCATCGGAAGAGGCTCGAGGCTCGAGGGACTGTTGGGAACAGATCGAATCAACAGAAAGTCGGGCTGGCTTGAAATTGTGGCCGGTGCGGTTGTGATGGGACGAGGGCAATTTCTTTGGGGAGGAATTCTGTGTTCTACCATCAGGATGGGCTGTGCTCTGTTTTCGATTATCTTCTGAAGTCGATGATGCGGTCGGCTTCTGTGTGAAAGCCTGATCAGAGGGCACAGACTTTTCCTTTGGAGCTCGACCGCTTGTCGATTCCGCTCGATTCCGCTCGATTCTGCTGGGCAAAAATCGCCCTTGAGGACTTTCGTGCTTTCGGTTCAGCTTAGATCAAGATTGTTCGAAACGTAGGCTTTGGGGGGTCGGTTGACCTCCTTTCTTGTGCTCTTTAGGCGGGATTGATGGCTTGTGTACGTTGCTGAAGTTCTTGCAGTTGCTTATGATCCATAGATGGTCGTCAGAATTTGAATTCTATCACACGACGCAAGCAAGATGTAGGGAGAAGAGGAACAAGTGCCGTCCATCGGCAGCTACGTTTTCGTGTATGTCTAAGACGGAAGAATCATATTCTTGCGCAGTGGTCAGGAGTATATGTGGAGGTCCGACCACAATGATGGAAATCGCTGTGGAACAGAGCCTGGCCGCAGCTCGAAATGCCAAGGTAATTCCATGTCCCATGCCATAGAGTCTTCAATTTCACCAGCTTTCTGATGGCGTGGCGCGCAGTCCTAGGTTTCTATGGCTGCCATCAAGAAGCTGACTGCCCCCGCTTCGTAATAAGATTTGTCCGGCCCTACGCGGAAGGGCACCCTCTGAGCATGATAGGAACCGAGGAAATTAGATTGCGCGTTTCAAAGATCTCAGTCACAGTGGGCGGGTAGTGGAAGCAGCGAGCGCGGTCGTGGTAATTTGTGCTAAGATCTGTTGCAATTTCGGGAGGATAGATGTGGTAGTCCCAAATGAGGCCAGGACAAACCTCGTGTTGTGAGTAGTTAGAGCGAAGTTATGAGGGCCGTGTCAATACAGCGCGAGTGGTTCATCAAACGAAGAATCGATGGCTTGATCACGTTCACACAATCACTGATCAGGCGATGGACTCGAGCGTCTGATGTTGACGAACAATTCGCGTGGTTTTGTTTTGGGCAGCTTCATGGGGCGATGTGCAACAAATTGGCTGTTCTGGTGAGCAACTTAGCGAAGCCTCTACCAGCGCTGAATGCGGAGAGACATCGGTGGCAGAAGTCGGGCGTTCAGGCCTTCTGTTCCCTCCAAATGGCTCTAGAGAAATCTCGGGCCCTGCTGCAGTATTGTGCCCACTCCAGCAAGCTATACCTGGTACGTCTCTTCTCTTCTCTTTGCTTCCTCCTCCGCAGCCCGTCGTAAGAGAGCAGCCCCCGATTTAGTATAATCCATCGAAGAAGGCGGATTCCATGCATTTCGGAGTGTCAGGACACACGTCCTCGAAATTTCCCTTTGCATGCTCTTTCTATGATACTAGTCCACAGTAATGACTCGGAACTGGAATAAATGGCAGCATCGTACAACTTGCTGTAGACACGTCAAAGATAGACATGGTTCGGTTGATGGATGGGTTCCGGAATCATGGGACTCTCAAGCTCTGCCGTCCTCAGGAGTGCGCAAGAATAGCTGATAGTGCAGGCAATCGTCCATTATTCTGATTCTTCCATTAGGTCAGAGGAGGCGCCTCTTGTGCTCTGAAAACATAGCATAGCTCTTTGCAGTTAGTTGGAAAGCAAGCAATCGAAAGCTCTTTATCCCTCCCTCCCTCCCTCCCGGTCCGAGCTGAGGTGGATTTGTTTGGACATGTTGCTCCTACTGTTCAGCTTTAGCCCTTTGCCTTCTGAGTGGATGCAAGGCAGCAACTTTTTGAGGGAATTTCACTGTGCACCCCTCTGACATCTTACGTGGTTCAATCCAAACTTTGGAAAATGAACTTCTGTCGGGAACTGATGTGTCATCGGTCTACATCAGCTCCGGACACAAGAGACCTGGGCTGGCTTGCTGAGAAGGCAGGCTTTGCAGCTGACTCTTTGGATTCCTTTCCCTTTGTCAAGTGCATACGTCCTCACGGGGGAATTTGACGTGAATGCTCTGCTCTGCCTCGGGGGTCGAAGAGTCCAGTCGTCCAGAGCAGAGCAGATGAACCACGATTCCTGTAGGCTTTTCTTGCTCGCCATAGGGTCTGGGTAGGAAAATTGGATAGTACGGGCGAGTGTCCATGTACGAATGAGATGACGTCGGGTTAACTCTACCTCAATTGTCTACCACATATCCTGCAGAAAGTCGTACATAGTCGAAACAGTGGTGAGCACCGAAAGGAAAATAGACTTTGGGTGTTGTGCTGTATGTTTCTGATCGTCATGGTGGGTTGTCGATGTGCCAGGCGATTAAAGGCCATTCGATCATATGCAAATTCGAGACCCTGAGGGAGGAATTGGAGGAAAGCGTTCGACGACTTTCGATCCTAGTGCCTCAACATCTTGCGCTCCAGGTACATTCATCGTGTCAGATGGCCGTCACCATCGACTTTGCTTCCGTCTGTGTTGTTTTGGTGTGATTTTGATTTCGAACCTTTGATCCACGTGTTGATGATCGGTGTGCTTGTGGCCGACGTGCGCAGATGGCAGGGCTGGAGACGGAAATTGGAAAAACGGAATTCGTTTTAGACCCGGAAGAAAAGCAAATGGGTGCTGAGTTGATTTCACTTTTGCTGCAGAAACAGAAGGGTGGCCAGTTTGAGAACCCTCAAGCAGAACAGGAAAGTTTCCTTCAGATAGGAATCCGGCTGGCATTGACTTCGGCCGAGGGAATAAACCTCGAGAGGAAGGCGCTAAAGAGACAGCTTGAGAAGGCTCAGGATAAGCAGGATAGGAAGAAGGAGGCGACCATAATTCACATTCTGTATTTGATTAAGAAGTACAACAATGTCCTGCAACGGGGTGGGGTAGAGAAGCCGGCGCTCTTTTCGCACTACTCTTTTAGTCGACTGTCATGGTCGGGAAGCATGGGCAGTTCCGGAGACGCGGAGAGCGACAAAGCTCACTACTGCGCCGATTGCAATTGCTCAGACGTGGAGACGGACGCGGATATCCCGAGCATTTCCAGCTCGTCCAAGCTTCCATTGGCTCCGGAGGAGTTCAGGTGCCCCATCTCTCTGCAACTCATGTCGGATCCTGTCATCGTGGCTTCAGGCCAGACATACGAACGAGTGTGCATCGAGAAATGGTTCAAAGAAGGTCATGTCACCTGCCCCAAGACGCAACAGAGATTGGAGCACCTGAACCTCACTCCTAATTATTGTGTGAAAGGGTTGATCGCCGGCTGGTGCGAGGCTCACTCCGTGCCGGTGCCGGGGCCTCCTTCTGCCCCACCTTCCCCGGTAGTTTCTTGTCGATGGGATCGCTCGGGTTCGGACGCGGTTGTCAAGGGCGAGTACGTCGACAGCCATCCGAAACAGCAGCAACACCAGAGCAGCTCGTGCGATCTGCTGTGCCACAGCGGCGGCGGCCAAGAGTTGAGCGCAGCGTCGAGTCGTGAACATCTGCAACCTCTGCATCAGATGTCATCGTCGATGGATTTTCACGACCGACGAGCAAGTTATAGCTCTATGAACAGCTCCTTAAACAGTTCCATGAATGGACGGCCAGACGATAAAGAAGCGGAGATCACCGAAGCCAACAGTGAAGAAGTCACGGATGGGCTGGCCCAATTAGTTGAAAATCTCAAGTCCAGATCATGGGACATCCAATGTCAAGCCGCGGAGCAGATTAGACTATACACGAAGAACAGCGCGGAGGCCCGACTGGTGATCGGCGAGGGCGGAGCCATTCCCCCTTTGGTGGATCTTCTGTACAATGCCATCGACCTGGATGACCTCAGGGCTCAAGAGAGCTGCGCCCTGGCGCTGCTGAACATGGCTGTCAACAACGACAGGTGACTATATTCTTTCGATTCCATTCCATCCCATCCCATCCCTAGTAGATCCAATTTCATCCTAGTCCAGTGGAAAGCGTTGATGATATGATGAGATGAGCTTCTGTGTTAGTCGACGGATAAGTGATTGATCGTACTCGTGGTTGGTTGGTGCGCAGAAACAAGGCGCTGGTGGTGATGGCTGGGGCAGTGCCACTTTTGGTCAAGATGCTGAGAGTGGGAGAGACTCAGACGGTGAAGGAGTCGGCGGCCGCAGCGCTGCTGACCCTGTCGTGTCTGAACGACAACAAAGCATGCATCGGGTCCTTCGGAGCCATACCCCTCCTTGTACAGCTTCTGATATCGGGGTCGAACCAGGGCCGGAAGGATGCTTTGACGACGTTGTACAATCTTACCATATTCATGGGGAATCGGCATCGGGTGATTCGCGCCGGAGCTATTCCCATACTGATCCACTTACTAAGTCTACGCAAAGTAGATCTTGTAGAGAAATGCAGTGCTTTGTTGTATAATCTATCCTTTACCGACGAGGGGAGGATCGGCATCGCCCAAACCGACGGCGCCATCTCGACTCTGGCAGAAATACTCGAGTCCGGCTCCGTGAGAGAAAAGGAGCATGTGGCAGCAACGCTGTTGTTGCTTTGTACAAATAGCTCGCAGTTGAACGACGCAGTGTTGAAGGAAGGCGTGATTCCCGCCCTCGTGGCGATTTCGGTCAGTGGAACTCCGAGGGCACGGGACAAGGCGCAGAAGTTGCTACTGCATTTTCGGGAACAGAGGCAAAAGGAAGCTCCATGCAAGTCGGTGCACTTCAACATGTATACCAACGCCAACACAGAAGAGTCGCAATCCGAAGGCGAGGCCGACTCTCTGCGTGTGCACCACGACGATGAAGATGACCCTAGCGACAAGTTCTCGTCTGAGCGTGCCCGAAGACTGACCAAGTCGCGCTCGTCCCAGTTGATCAGATTCTCTTGCAGACCGCGGATGTGTTCCCTTCGTTGCTGATCAGAATCCGACCTACCGACCGACCTACACCAGTCGGATGCATCGAATCCAATCCATCCCCCGACCCCCAACCTTCCCAGGAACGGTGAAGTGTAAGAAAGCAAATCCGTCATCACCCACCAGCCCCCCATCGATCCATCGATCCATCCATTCATCCATCCATCCATCATCGCATCCATCGAACCCAATCGCGTCGTGGTGACTACCCTTGGAGTATACCTTCTACTCTAACTGTACTGTATGTGGAGGAGGCTTGGCCCCGAGTCGAGCTATTCGTTCGTGTGATATCAACCTTCTACATCAACAAAACTGGTTTTTGTGTGTCGAAAACAAATCATCATCGTATTTTTGGTAGTGACTAGGTGATCTCAAGTAAGCAAGCCAGCAAGCAATCAATCAGTCGTTCGTTTGTGTACATTATACCTCTCTCTGTAAAACATTTTGAGTTCGGAAGGCTGGAGCATGTCTAAGCAAATGGGCATCTTCAGACAGGCAGGCAGGGCAGGTGGGCAGGTGGGTTTCCTAGTACAGGGCCGGGTGTTTACATACTAGAGTATGATAGAGAAAGCCAGCGCAATGTAGTCGTTAGAAAAAATTCCTCACCTACGCTATGTACTGACGTTCCCCGCTTCCACTCCCCTCCCCACCCCCTTGCCCCCGGGGGTACCTCGCACCTCTTTCCTACCACTCTCATCATTCTGACTTGGTCATCGTTTCACTGTAAATACCATCATTATCGATCATTCATTCGGTCTGAAACCTCCGGTCTCGACTCGACTCCACTCAATTTGACACGATATCTGCTCAAAGCTTTAGCCGGACTGCTTGTTTCCATCGGGGGTCCGTGGTGGAATACACCGCCCGCTCACTCGCTCGGTCGCTCTTTTGCTGGGGCTCAAGTGTCATCAGTGACTTTAGACTCCAAATGTCGCATCACGATGTCCAGTTTTGGACAGAAAGTGGAGCGACTCGCTCGTTGTTCCGATCGGACTGAGGAGTAATGTAAGAGCTTGCATAACCTTGAACCGATTCACATGTAGACACGGATGTTCCCTTTGCGACACTTCGGAAGTTGGCTTCGTTCCAACCTGGCTGTCTCTAAGCTCTGTAAATGTTACATTAAGCAATTACAGTTATCGAAAAACCAAAACAATCTCTCTCTCTCTCTCTCTTTCTCTCACTCACGTACTTATTCGAGTCCCTCTTGTGATCGTCCAAAAACTCGACGGTGGAAATGAAACGAGCATCTCGTCTCCCTTTGATTTGCTGGCGATCGGTAGTATACACTGACTGGTGTTGTCAACGATCATACCTTCAAAGGCCATAATCAGGCCGACGAGATCTGCAAGCCGCGAACGGAAACGATTGCAACTCACGTCTGAAGTCTGAAGTCTCCGGCGTCCCTCCCCCACCTGCCGGATCTCTCCGTCTCACACATCCAGGTCGTCCGTCGGACCATCCGGAAGCTGTTCCCTCTGGTGGTACAAGTGTTTGTCCCCTGGATCGACGACACTCCGCGCTCCAGCAACCAGCGAGCCCTTCTTCCGGCGGGGTTCGAAGCACTGTTGGTGCCTCCTCCTTGGCGATCCCGTTCGCCCAACGTCTTCCAGTATCGCGCGATCCGGTGACGGTGAAGATGCTGCGCTTGGAATGGCAATGCGAGACATCGCGTGCTGTCCGGCAGAGAAGCGTGCCTCGCGTTCATGCGTAGCGCTGGAGAAAAGCGCCATGTTTCGTTTGCGTCACAGCGACATCGTCCGTCGTTCCACACGGTATCAGGACTGTCGATCCTCGTGGTTTTCGAGGCTGATTCTGCTGCTGCTGCTGCTGCACACGGGGTTCGTGCTGCCGTATTTCCCCGCATGAAACTGCTTCGGTCGCAATCGTCTCCGTGCCTGCGAACAATCCGATCGGTGGTGCACGCCACAGTTCCTTCCCAGTCAACTCGGACACCGATCGACTGCTGGAGCATGATCGCGACGCTGGTGGCATGTCGGTCTGCGTCTGCCTGAGTGGAGGATTGGGTGATGTCCCGGAAGGATGACCGATTCGACGATGGCGACGTGGTTTGGGGATTACGTTGACGAGAGCCCGCAACCGGAGGAATCTCCGAGTGCACGCATTGCGATAACCCCAATGCTTGTAAAGAGAGGAAATAGTGATGGAGCTCTCGCTGCAGTTGACCTCGACGACAATCCGCTTCAACTTATCGGGAATTTTCTATCGCTGAAGAAGACGGGAAGATCAGAAGGATGATGAACGCATTGGGGCCCACTGCAGAAGAAGCTGATGAAAAGGCCAGGGACGAGAAATCCCCCTCGGACTCTGGCTGCTCGTACTAACCGGGATCTTTCTAACGAGTCTCCAGATGACAGTGGCGCAACTATCTTCTGCTCCACTGATCGAGGAAAGAAGAGGAGAAAGCACACAGAATTGCGCTTGCACAGATGTGGCCGGCAGAACCTGGAACTTGTTAGAACTTGAGAAGCATTTCATTGTGAAGATGTGAAGATTCATCGTGCATGAGTGCGTGACGCGTATTTTCCATTTGTCCACTTAGTCCATAAGGCACTCTACCCACCCTCCAGCTGACATTTGGAATCAAGAGTTGGGGTGTATCATGCAATGAAATCGAACCGGAGAGTGACGTACTCGCTGAAGTGTGCTTGCAACGAGAAAATTTCCGGCCCACGTTCAGTTCCACGATTTTGTGGGCCGGTTTGACTGAGCGTGGTTGGAACTGTGGTGAGAAGATCAAGCAGATTGACAGCTTGTGAGCGAGACCATGGACAAGCAGTCTGGCATCGCTTCAGCTCGGTCTCACCCTGAGAGCTCATCTGTGGTTCACATGTTGCAAGCGCACGAGTCCCTCACAAGAGTGTCTCTCATGACGAATCAAAGGAGGGTTTCAGGGAGCCCTTAGTCCTGGCCGCAAGCCCGGAGTTTGTATATCATGATGCCCAAGGCGTCAAATCGTGATCATGTTAAGGATGGATGGATGGTCGGAGGCCATGATCTCAGTCACAAGGGAAGCGCATTCCAGAAATGTGCCACGGACTGAGATATTCGTGCCTCATTTCCGACCGCAGGCTCTGAGTTGTGCAACCGATTATATGGAACGATACCGCCATGAGTACATAGTTCTAAAATTCTGCAATGTTAAACCAACCCACAAGAGAAGTGTTACATTCCTCACGTGCTCACATGTCGATATTAAGACCTGTGCATTCAACGCTTGCATCGGCCGATGTTGGGTACAGAGCATAAGCAGTACACATTTTATTTCTACAGAAAGCATACATCACAAAGTGGAAGGGACATACTCTGACTCTCATGCATTCATTCTTCCGAGTCAGCCCGGATATGAAGTGATGGCAGCTCATGCTTAGAACATCGCCGAGAGCCCTTTATAAGTCCGGATATTTACATCAATATATGTATTGACATTCCGTCAAGAAATCTCCACACGGTGTCCAGCTAACAAGAGAACTCAACCGACCGATTGCATGAATGTCTGTTAAGCCACGTGACTTCTAGATCTGAGTGCATCTTGAGTGGACTCGCCTATTCCAGATATGTTTCTCTTATGCATGTCGAGTCGGATACGAGAAACAGAACCAACTCTCGACGCCTTGACTAAATTGATGAGCTCTGTGAGTCAAGGATCGAGTGGCCTCAGGTGCACGGCGTGGGTCCGTATCTATATAAATATACGCAGTTTGCCGCAGGCAAGGCTCTGCTTCGACATGCTTTTATTCATGGAAGGTGACTGGCACTGGCCCGATAGATTTCGCCGAGGCCCCTAGTAGGGCTTTTGGCCGATGTAGTTACCCGGAGGGTCGTAGCTGCAGACGACAAACTTGCCACCAGCGGCGCAGGTAGCTGACCCGCAACCCACCCTCTGTGTGTTCCTCCAGACCACCTGCGAAGTTCACCATTCGACAAGGGCTCAGTGCTAGCAAAAAATGCTCTCGCTCTAATTCGAGATTGTGCTCATTCCCAACCTAACATGGTCCTTGCGGGACTCAACTTTCGTTCCGTGCAGCAATGGATCATCTCATCGACTACTGCAACGTTTTCACCTTCAAAGGGTTACGCCTCCTTTAGGACTCAGTTACCTTTCGTGGAGACATCCCTGAGTGCTGACCTGGGCCTTCAGAATACATAACTATAGTATGTGGGCTTCTGACGTACTCAGAACACAGACTGAATCAAGGACCTTGCTCGATGAATTGGTTGACATGAACACATTCCCGTTCTCTGTAGAGCACAAAGCGCCCGAGAAGTGGAAAGTAACGTTTAAGACCTTCTTCCTGGCCTGACGAGATATTTTCTTCACTGATTTCCTGAAGACTTGATCAAACTCCTCTCGAGTTCTCCAGTATTTTCTCAATGTCTCTCTAGCTCAGGCCAAGGCCTGGCTCGACAAGTCCGACGACAATACAGAAGCGAATAGCTCAAATAGACCTGGAATTTGATCTCATTTTAAGCCAAGTACTATCTGTCAGACCGTCTGGTCCACTTAACCAACCTTAACTCGATTGGTAGAGCGGGACACTGCAGTGCTAGCTCAGACATCCGTGGTTGGCTACTTCAATTTCGGCGGCTCGGACGTTACCCGTCTAATAGTAAATAGGTTCGACTGCCTCTCATACCTGATCCTTCTAGCACATGCTAGGCTGCTAAACGTAAGGGTTTTCCGAGTTAGAGGTGTGCACACGGCCCAGATAAGACAAACTGGGAAGTTTTAGTTTGGCAATGGGTCCTGGAATCTCAAGGTTTCAGGGTGTCTAGCGATTGGCGTCTCATTCATCTTTGCTCAAAAATCACGAATGTGATGGGAGGTCCTCTTGAAGAGCTTGAGGTCTTTGCAAAGTGATCAGTCACAGCTTAAAGCTAGCAATCCTGAATGTAACTGGATGTAGGAGCCTAGCAAGTAATTCTAACGATTTAAGAGTAGGATGCCAGCCAGGGGGCACGGTTTAGAAGTCAAACCTGAGTGTAGTGTCCACAAACTTGGCCACTGGCGCAGGAGTTGGAGTTGTAATTGTAATACTGCTTCTCATCAACCCACGACTTCACAGCATCACCAGGGACGCTCTGCCAGCTTGACCAGTAGATGTTCTCACCATAGCTTCCACCAGAATGGATCAGGTTACAGCCGGCATTGGCTCGTGTTTGAGCCCAGTTTTTTGCATAATTGGCCAGAGTTGAGCTCCAGGTCAGGTCTGGAATGTTGGCATTCAGAACTCTCCTGGCGCTGTTGTGAGGGTTCACATAATCTGAAGCCTCGTCACCCAAATTGTGGACGTAGTAAGCTTCCCCAGACATTTCATGACGCTCAAGCTGGCCCTCGCTTACCAATTCCAGGCGTGGCTCGACCTCATTTACAAGATCTCTAGTAGCATGGCAATGGCTGCTGAGGAGGGTAGCAAACACCAGCCATGAACTCAAGACCAAACTCAGCAGCCGACGATCCATTTCACCAGATTATTGATCAGCGCTTTGTGTCTCACAAGCTGAAGAGAACAGGAGAGATCGAAGGAGTTCAATGATCGATGACGATATCCAAAGCAACTTCTGAATGGGATTTTATACTCTTCATCTGAATTCTCTTAAAGACCTTCCGCTTAGGATTGGGCCGACTTTAGTCATACGAATCTGGACTACATAGATTCCCGCATTAAAAATATTCATCGATCGTTTTCTATCGATCGTTCCATATGGCCTGACCGCTCGTGGTCTGCCCAAACCAGAGCTTCTTTGGAGCACGAGCCATCGAAGACCAAATGCCGGTGCCGAAGACATTGAGTCCATCCACCTTGACACTAAGCTGACTCATGCTGGGTACGGTATTCTGATCAGAGTCTGCTCAGCTCTATCTCAAGTCTTTCCGTCATATTGTGTACTGGAGTTTTCAACAGAACAGGTTGAGAATCTGTGGTTTCTAAAGAGTATAGCCCGCACAGGCCCCACATTCATGGACATTTAGAATGGAAAGACCACCTCGTTTCATTAGCTAGCTTAACGCCATGTGTTACTTCACGGCAAGGTACTTGTAACAGCAGCAGCAGGTGAAACGAGTTGACGAGACAGTCGCAGACTGTCTCATCCGAGGGACCCAACAACCAGGAGCAAGGCTAAGTCGCGTTCAAATGCGTGCACGCAATATTGATATTTGTAATACAACATCACGTTGGCCTTTGTCTCTTAGCTCCACGCTATGATTCAATAGGCGCTTCAGGCTTGCTGAGCCTGAAAGCAACTGTGAAGTTCAGTAGGAAATCATGCTCATGAAGTAAAAACTCCATATCAGATAAGTAAATATCGATGTTAGATGCAAACATCGATCACCGAATGACTTGGAAGGCTCGTCAATTTATTCCTCGCCAGGTGCCCGATGATGTACGGATCAGCTGACACCATAGGTAGCTTCAACTCCTATTTTGCAGACTTTGAGGATTTCTGGTCTAGCACGGGTCTGCTCTGACCGTACTCGAACGGCTCAGGAGTGCGATTCTTGTGAGTCTGACCGAGACCGAGTGTATTATAGTAGAACCTCCGTACATCTTCATTCCGAACAAGACAATAACTGCATACGATACGCTTGAGGATTATATATTAAGTGTATATATGATCTGTAAATAAATGCTTGCACAAATTTTGTACTCGAAGATCCATCACTCCCATAAGTTATTCCATATTAAAGATTTGAACTTTCCAATAATGTCATTTATTATGAATAGCATACTCTAGTAGAATTCTAAAATTATAAATTCATCGGATAAAATAATATTTAGTTATTGAAGAGTAACATGATATTATTCAATAATTATAATTTCAAAATTAACATTATTCTCGGATCACATTACACAGTTCAGAGAAAAATAATGACATATATGTTTATTTGACATTTTATTTAAAAAAATATTTTTCTATATATATTATCATCAATTGTTTTATTTAGATTTTTTATATTAATTTGCATTCGAACGTAATTACAATACCGATGTGGAAATGAAATCAATGTTGAAACCAAACAACACATTTATAGAATATTCTAGAATTGATATAATGTACCATAAATAATTTATGTGCTTTATTTCTATTTATAAATAACATCTAAGACCGATGTATAGTGACGGAATAGACGTTCCAGTAGTGACAGAAAATCTAGCACCAATGTAATTGAACTCTGTATGCATATCTAGAGGCGGGAAGATAGGTACCCACCACCTTGACTCGCTCACTTTCTCGCTCTAGTTCTAAATTATTGATTCCAATGAAAGATTCCTTCTAGTTCCTTGTTCACATGGAGGTTTGTCATCCACCAGGGCAGCAAATGTAGTGCCCAGGTCGAGACAAGAGGCCGTGGACGAGCAAGGAATTGAAGTCAAATGCAAGAGCAGGTGTTGCCCAAAGTCTCACTCGGTCTTTTATTCGGGTGCGAGGCGGATCCTTTATATTTATCAATGACTGCCAATAGAAACTGTAAGACCATGGGCGAAGGACCATCGCAGCCAAGAGTCAAATCTCGAACGAGTCCATTTTCTTATTTCTGAGCGATTTTTATGTTTCATGTGAAAATCCACCTGCAGGTACACTTTATGAGCTGTATGCTCTCAACCCGATGCCATTCGGACTTCAATCCGGGTAGGCTTGCGAATCTTATCTCCTAGTACGTCACCGTGATGCGAAATTACACTCTCGAGTTGTAGCATTTGCTGCTGTCACGATGGGACAATATCAATGACATGCAGCTGCATGGATTTCCACTATTTTTTCTTCTGGTCTGTAAATCTCCGTATCGCACAAGAGCATATCCATACCATGAGATTACTCTAAAAACTGTGCCAATCTGTATTCCGTCGGTGGCATCACGACTCGTGGAACATTTCTGATTTCTTTTTTGAGTCATTTAATTGTCTCACGTTTACGCGGTCGGACGAAGGGTTGGCATATGCGCAGCAGAAGAAATACTCTGCTGAACAAATACAAAGAAGGTCCGCACGACCTATCCACACCAATAGCTACTGTTAGAATTTTCGACTTGTTTGATTGAAATGATAACTGAGCAAATGAGACCAGCACGAGAATGAAAGGGTATTAAGATTCCGGCGTGGAATCTGAACCCTGGGTACCTACTTTCGTAAGTGATAAGATGTGACCATTACAGCGTTGGTGTCGTTGAGCAGAGCACAGCCACCTTGAAAAGGGAATATGTTATGTAGCTGGGGCAAACCAGAGTATTTATGTGCGTGTCATCAGTAAATAATTAGACTCTAATTATTACTGATGATTCGCACATAAATACTCATGCACCTCTAATTATTAGAGGTGCATGAGTATTTAGAAATACTAATGGTAAATAGAGTCATGGTAAATGGCATGCAGGCCAAGTATTGTCAACTAATTACATCATGGAGAGAGGAGACCTTTCATGCTTTCCAAAGATTTATTGCTATCTCTAGTCTTCGGCCCATTCAATTTTCGAGTTTTCCTGTAGCAATATAAGGTATGCTTGATGATACTAGGGGTGGTATATCACTCCTACCAAAGAACATGATGAAGAATATGAAAAGGCGTGGGTAAGAAACTGTGATAGATTTGCTTGATGGGACCCCTGAGTAAAGTAATTTGCTTGATGGGACCCTTCAGGTTTCATTTTACCCGATGGGACCCATGAACGATGCACCGTCACCCATTTTCTAATAACAACTAGAGAGAGTGTAACGAGTCCACCGCACCCGCAGACAGAGTGGACTTCGCACTCCATCACACTTACTTGTTTTTATGTTGTCATTCTGTAGCCGGCCACTCTCCAAGGAGACGAGCAAAGAAATGTTCATCCGGAGTTTATTTGTTCATCACAAATGGGTGATCGCGAGACTTGAGCTCAGACCACGCAGGATTACGGAAGGAGTGTGCAGGTGGGAGTAAACAGAGAAATCCGTGAATCTTTACGATCGGAAGAATTGAAGCACAACAAATTGCACTTCGAGCAAAATCGATCTTTGTCCCCGTGATAATCCACCAGATATAATTCTCGCATTGTATCTAGTAGTAATTGTAGTTACAAGAACTATGTCTGACGGCACACCGTCGTTGGGGTCCCATCGGGTAAAACTAAAGCTGAGGGGTCCCATCAAGCAAATTACTTTCCGCAGGTGTCCCATCAAGCAAATCTCTCAAGAAACTGTCGAACATCAAATTTGAAATTAAAAAATTTCAGTACATTTTTATTCCCTCCTTCATTTTAATAATATCAAAACAATTAGAACATCTATACGCAATGTTACATTATAATTACAAATATAATCAAATTAGCCATTAAACTTAAACAATGGCAACACACGAGTTATTGGTGTATGAAAGAAATTAATTTGAAGACAGATTATAACCAAATGTATGAGGAATATTGAGGAAAAAAATTATTTGTAAAGTTTTAATTTTTAATTTTTTACAAAAAGTATAAATTTTTTACTTCAATAAATTATTCAATACAATAATAAAATATTATGTTCAAATTTCTATGCGTATATTTATACTATAAAAGAATATTATTTTTTAAGTAAATTTATAGAGATAAATTTCGAAGTTTTAAGGATTTTTTTTTTAATAAAATTATATGAAACGAACATTCAGAAATTTTACTTTATAAAAATTTGTCAAGATTTTTTTTTTTGGAATATACCTTATGAATAGGTTATTAACTTGATTCTGAATATATAATTTATTTTTAATGATAGATCTAAATAAATTTATATATTATTCTAAATTATATAATTTCTTTGAAAAATCGAAAATGATTTTAGTTTTTTGTGTTTGAAAATTATATTTTTAATCTATAAAAAACACAAATATATCTTAGAAAGAAATTATCATTTCAAATTATATCACAAGCTATATGAATAATATATAAATAAATTACTCAAGTTCGATATCATTCTAATCTTGAAGATACTACATTGCAGCTTAGTGTTATGTCATGATTTATGCTACATTTTGGTATTTATCTGTCATTACAATTCAATCTATAATTTTGAAATAACCAAAAAAATTGATTAATTATTTAATTTTCTCAATTTTCATGTCTTAATGATATATGAAATCTCCAATAATGTTATATACTTTGCAAAAGTGCTTTAAATAAATATCTTCAAAAATTATTATCTAAATATTTACATGTTGTTTAAAATTATTCATGGACAAAATAAATAGTTTTCTCTTGACTTTAAATTAAAAATATCAACTTCAATTCAACTGAAAGTTTTTTTTTTTACATAAAAAACACTACTGTCGCATGTTATAAATAATTTCATTGAAATTTTTTAACAAAATCACAATTCTAATTAATCATTATCAATAAAACCACAAATAAGACAAGTAAATATATCGCTCATAAATAATATCAAAACAATGACGTCCTAATAACTTGTTTAAAATAGCACACCTGATGAATTTAAATCTAAATGTTGGAAAATACATTCATAATGTTTAGCCTAAATCAGAATATACATTTCTAAGACTCGAATTGCATCATAAAATAAATAAATAAATGATAAAATAATTTCTTCGCATATCATTCATCATCAAATTGGTATATTGATCAATTTTAAGAATTATCACAATGAATGTTGATCACATCATATTTGGCAACGA